ATCAACCCGATTTAAATCATAATTTTTAAAGAGCAAATGTCATCTCTGTCCTGCAGCAGCTCCTCTGACCCACTGTTAGTTAGTTAGTTAGTTAGTTAGTTAGTTAGTTTGTCTTGTATGCCGCCCATTCCCGGAGGACTCCGGGCGCCTTACAATAAAAAAGGAAAAGGTAATAAATAAGACAGACAACAATTTAAAATACAACAACATTCATAGTTACCGTGGGGCTGGATACTTCAACAGCCCCCGGCCTGCTGGAACAGCCAGGACTTAGTGGCTTTATGGAAGGCCTGGAGGGTCGTAAGGGTCCGGATCTCCATGGGGAGCTCATTCCAGAGGGCCGGAGCTGCAACAGAGAAGGCTCTCCCCCGGGGGGTCGCCAGCCAACATTGGCTGGCAGATGGGATCCGGAAAAGGCCTAGTCTGTGCGATCGAATCGGTCTTTGGGAGGTAATTGGCAGGAGGCGGTCTCTCAGGTACACGTTAATGGGACGGCTGGTGATGCAGCAGTGACACAACAAGGTGAGGGACATGGCAGGAAGCAGGTAAGTGGATACCTGCTAACAGGCGCTGCCACAATTGATCTGGAATGGCAGGTGCTCTTTAAATGTAAGGACTCATTCTTGCTAGTAGTTAAGACTCTTTAATTTTATTATTTGCTAACAAAATGAAGGTTTCCTATTTAGCTTGCAGAGCTTGGGTTCATTGAATGAGTTAATATTGCAGACTCTACATCCTCATGCTACATAACTAAGCTCTATTTCATGATGAATAAACTAAATTATTAATGTATCTTAAACAGAAAACTATCTTTAGAATTTTATTAAAATAAATTTGATAAAAATAAACATAAATCTTATTTAAATTAAAAATAAATAAAAAAATCATTGATTTTTATGCACCCTGTGGGAGAGGGACCTTGGAGTCCTAGTGCATGATCGCTTAAACATGAGTCAGCAGTGTGCAGCCGCTGCCAAAAAAGCTAATACAATCTTTAGTTGTATAAACAGAGGTATAGAATCAAAACCATGTAAAATATTAGTACTGCTTTATAAATCCTCACTAAGACCACACCTGTAACACTGCATCCAGTTTTGGTCACCATATTACCAAAAAGATCTTGAGAATTTGGAAAAAGTGAAAAGAGTAACAACTAAGATGATTAAGGGCCTGGAGATTAAAATATATGAAGAATGGTTGTAGGATTTGGATTTGGCTAGCCTAGAGAAAGAAAGACTGGGGGGGGGGGTGGTATGATAGTAGTATTCCAGTATTTGAAAGGCTGCCATAAAGAAGAGTGGGTCAATTTATTTTCCAAAGCATCAGAGGGCAGGACAAGAAACAATGGATGGAAACTAACCAAGGAGAAAATCTGGAATTAAGGAGAAACCTCCTAACAGTGAGGACAATTAACCAGTGGAACAGAAGTTATGGGTGCTTCATCACTGATGGTTTTTAAGGAGAGACTGGACAGTCACTTATCTGAAATTATATAGGAGCTCCTGCTTGAACAGGGGGCTGGACTAAAAGACCTCTAAGGTCCCTTCCAGCTCTATTCTGATTCTGACATAACTGAAGCTGTGCTATGCTTTTAATCCTAAAATATCTGTTTCTTAAAATGAAAATTCTATATGGGTATTTCACACATACCGAATCCATGATTTGTGGCTTATTTTCTTGAAATATATCTTGATTAACAATTCTTTGTTTAGTGACCATTCAAAGTTAGGACAGAACTGAATGGAAATTACAGTACAAGGAGCATACGGTGCCTGCATGACGCACCGTCCTCAAAATTGTGTCCATGCAGCACCCCTGCAATCACATGATTGAGGCATTTGGCAGGAGATCACAAATGACAATCACATGATGTCACACTTAACTACCACACTTGAGTCTCTTAATGGCAAATGGAACTGCTACTGTAAGTTGGCATGGTTATGTGATGCACTTTACGACTGTGTCGTGATAGAATTCCTGGTCCCAATTTCTGTTATTAACCAAGTATTACCAGTACAAGGTATTTCAAATATCTTAAACTATTTCACTTCAAGTTAATCTTAAAGTTTCAAGGTAAATATAATATTGCCTTTAATGTCAAGCCAATGTCATGGGAACAAATTCTTGGACTGTTTTGATCAAGGATAATTAAAAAAAAAGTATTACAAGAATGTAGCACTCTGGCAACTAAATAGAGCCCCTGAAACAATATAGCATATCAAAGAAACCAGGGAATACTGTACTTAAAATGCGCAGTCACACTGTTCATAACCACAAAGGACAAAATGCAGCAGTGGAGGCATGCATATAGTTCATAATAATTTCCTCCTAAATGGAACAGAAATCTGTTTTGGTCTTATGAAATTGGACAATGTGGTGGTTGCTTATTACTGCTGTTTAAGTTACAAGCAAGGGAGTACTAATTGTTTTGCTCATATGTCTATGGGTTCAAATCACTGCTACAGAATGTAAACTACACATTCATTATCACCATTTAGAGGCATAAAATTATACTGAAGTAAAACGATTGGTGATTCAGTATAAAAGCAAGCTAAGAGTTTTCAGACAACTCTTTAAAATGTCCCATAGAGATTAACAAATTTCAACTTATGAAATAAAATGTACTTGGTTAGTAATCATATATTGTCTTTTAAAATAAGATGCGTTTTGCAGTTTTGGCATGTTTATAGCAAATCGGCATCAGTTAATTTTGAACAACAAAAAGATATAGCTCGCTACAAATTTTGCAGCAGTTAAGAAAAGGAAATCCAAACTATTATTTTTTTCAAATTAACTTTTTTTTATCCTGGTATTTGGAACTCAAGAATCTCCTATTTAATACATTCTGAATTTTTAATCCTTTCCTTACATTAATTATGTATACATTTAACACTGTTACAATTCATTCTCATTACTATTCTAAAATAACATTAGACTCCTGGCAACAATTTGAAATTCTTAAAACAGTGCTCAGTTGCTTAAAACAATCCTACAATTATCTTGTAGATTATAATTAGCTACATGTTGCATATAAAATAACAATGAATAAAATGAGATAAATTTATTTTTACTTTCACAATAGGCTATAATTTTCTGTAGAAAATTAATTTGAATGATGTCAGAATTCAAGTTAATCATCTAGTTGCTGTTTTCTTATTAATTTGAAGGAGGCCTGGATTTTTCCCTGTAGCTATAAGGTACTCGGTGTACAGTCAGTTCACAATACATACAGTAAAATTATTGCCTGTTTCAAAAATAATTTGAGTGTTGATAATTAAAAGTCAAAAACTGTCTTTTTTGGTATTATAATTGCACATGAAAGAAAAAATAAATAAATTCATGCCCTCAAGTAAGGGATCACTCCTGGCAATTGCCTGGACAAGTCCTTGCACTTTTCTTGCAACATTTCTAGAAGTGGTTTGCTATGGCATTCTTCCTAAGGCTGAGAGAATGTGGCTGTTTTTTTCTAGCCTGGTATCTTTAACCACCACACTAAATTGGTTTTCTTAACTGTATGTAACTCAAAAATAAATTCAAGAGGACCATAATTTAAACAAATCCTCAAAAAAGTCCAAACCTAGGGGTTAATTTGAACTCATTTCCAAGTTTACATAGCTTATTAGTTCGGTGGCTAGAAGTCTTTCTACAAGTTGGTATATTTCTTCTGTTTACATCATTATTGTTTCCACACAAGTTTTTGTGTTGATCTGCATGACATCCAAATTGCTAAACTGGTTCTCAATAATCTTGTCAACCTTCATACTACTTTCATTATGGCTTGGAAATCACAGCAAACTTTCAATATAAACTTTCTTTATGGATTAATTATGAAGATATATGAGAACTATAACGCTTGATATGGAAACATTTACTGTTCACTTCGGGATTTTACTGAAAGCTTACAATAACTTGACAACCAGAATGTAATATTGTACATTTTAAAACAAATGCAGTTCAGCAATTAAACTCAGAAATTTAAAATAAAATGGAAGTATAATCAGCAGTCAATAGTTTTGTTTTTCCTATCACCAAGCTATAGGTTATACACCCAGCATGTTATAATGTTCAACTAACAAGCTTTATGGAATCTGTGTTAAAACTACACTGTATAATGATGATAATTTACTTGATATGACATTTGACTGAAATGAATAAGGGAAATCTGATAGTTGGAGAATAATCAAGTGTCTACAAAATGGATAACATTAAAAAAATATTTGGATTCAGAACCTTCCACATTAAGGCTTAAGATGCAACAGAGCTTAATACAAATTAATACAAATTTGTGTTCTACAACATCCACTAACAATTCACTGCTAAGGTTGGGATCAAGCAAACTGTTCTTATAGTTAGTTACTCTCAGCATAAACAAACATAATTTTAATATTCTTCAATCCAGTATTTTTCAACAAAGCAGGTTGCTTGGAATCTTCTTTGAGGTAATTTCATCAGAATATTGAGTTTTTCCTCAGGAAAAATGCCTACATAACACCAGTATCAATGCTCAGTTCCTTGCCACAGTGTAATACATTTTATTGGTGGTCTAATGATCCCCTCTTAAAAGGCACATAACAGCTAAAAAATACCATATCTCTTAATCTGCAGCATTTAAGCAGTTCATTGGAATGCATGAATGGTAAACACATTTACAGTTCAGTCCTGTGACTTTGTTCCTACAATATATATATTATCTTGGTCAACTGAACTGGAGCTTAGTCAATTAACCCACATTTCTGGGTTCACATGCCAGACAGAAACAGCAATCTATCAAGCAGCCTGATTTCACATTCCACAGAAGACTAAAACGCATTTAGCCAGTTCCCAGTTTACTGGGTTGTGCACATATCACGGATTGGTTCCCATGTCCTGTTGTGGTCACCACAACCTTCAGCCTTCTTCCCAATCCAAAACACTTGCTCTGTGATTTCTATTGTCCCCTAGGGACAATTTTCTTTAAAATCAATCAAGTCCATGTACTTTCCTCCCAACAGGTACTCTACCTTCCAAGTTCCTCTCCAACCTCGTAGTGATCCTCCAGGTTTTCTTGCCGGAAGACAGTCATGATAGCTGGGAAGGGAAAGCCCACAACCAGCTTCCACTGCCTTTGCCTTTCAACTCATCACCTCCACCTTGGTACGATCTTCCAGGACTTCATGCATGGCGCTACGCTCTGGAGAAGAGAGACAGGGGGAAAAAGCAAGGGGCGAGTTAAAATGCCCATGTTTGCAGGAAGGGTGCGGTTATGTCACTGTTTTCTCCATGCACACAGGTCCACCATACACCACGCCGGCAGCGCCTCTGAAAGAAAGCAGGATTGGGAAAGCAGAGCGGTCCCGGGTGGCGGCCGGCTGGTTAACTTCGCTCTCTAAAAATCACCGGGCTTCAGCTGCCAAGAAATGGAAGCCTCTCCCGGGGTCCTCCTCCCCCTTGTGCGCGCCTTGCACGGGCGAGAGACTCTTCTCGCCCGTGCCTCGAGCTGCGAAATGGAGACAACAGCCAGGGAAAAAGAAGTCACCCCCTTTCTCCTCCCCCCCACGAGAACAACGCCTCGCTGGGGAGGGAGCGAAGGGAAAGAAAGGCGCCTCCTAAACTCCGCGCGCCGCTTCCTCGCGCGCATCTCACCTTCTTCCCCGCACCGCAAGCAGGAGCCCCCAAAGCCACCATTTCACCTGAGCCAGGAGCCAGGAAACGCACGGACGCCACATTCCTCAGCAACTCCCCCCCTCCGTTACCCGGTCAACTAGGACGTGCAACCGGGAGGAGCCGCCGCCGCCGCCTAAAATCCGCCCGCTCGGCTGTCGATAAAATCCAGCTAGCCAGGCGCGGGCATTCCCCTTCGCCCTGCTTGGAGGAGTGCAAAGAGCCTGGCGCTTTTCCTCTTTGGCTCCTGCTCTCCTGGAAGGCCTTGCCCCGTTCTCCGCCCTCCTGCTGGCTAAGGGGGGACGCAACCCGGCGAGGAAGGGACGGAAGCCCCCCGACTCGTCTGCCGGAGTCGCCGCCGCCGCAGGGGGAGGAGGGGAGGCGCGCCGGGAACCTCTCCTTGGCGCAGGGAGCTTCCTTCTGGCTGGGGGGGCGAGAGACCGGGGAGAAAAACCCGCCCCTCCAGCTCGCTCCCTCGCTCACTCACCCTCTTGCTCGAGCTCGCGCTTCCTTTTTTCCGGGCGGCAGCCTCCCTTTCTAATCGTTCGCACACTCTTCGGAGCCGAGCTAGGGAAAGGCACTCCGGCAAGCGGCCAATGGGAAAGCCGCGGCGTTTTTACACCCCTCCCTCTCTTCTCCCGACCAGCCCACGCCAGCGGTGAGCAACGGGGGAGGGAGGATGCGGCTCGTGCGCGCGCACGCACGCACGGGCCGACAAAGGCGTGCAGGTGTATTAGCGTGCAGGCTGCTTACCTTCGGGTATCGCCGACCGCCTTGGCGCGGCTTGGAAGGCGTCGGGACCTCCCTCGCGCCAGGTTAGCGCTCGGGTAGAAAAACTTCATCCATTCCGGGGGGGCGGGGGGTTGCAGAAGGTTAATGGCCAGTATGTAAGTACTGCCCACCCTTCTCTAACTGGTGCCCTCCAGGTGGATTCCGGCAATGCAAAACCGCCAGACGTGAAGCTAGTTGGGCATCGTTGGGAACGGATCTTAAACGCATTTGGAAGGTTCCCGGTTCCGAACATTTACCAAACAGGGTTGTAAGATCTCACAAGCAGAGAGAAGTGAGTTGTAGCATCCGCAGGTATAGCGGGCAGCAGGTGTGGAACTCTTCTGGGCCATGATTGTAGTGCCTTATCAAAAAGTTGATCTTTGCCTTGGCTTTCTGACCAGCAAGGTTTGCTTTGCCAAAGAGAAACTTCCTTACCAAGAGCTTCTTTTTTCCCCAAAAGGCAACTGAACTTTGTTTTTTCTTTGAAGATGTTTTGCTTCACATCCAAGAAGCTTTTTCTTCAGAGATGAAGATGAGAAGCGAAATGTCTTCAAGAAAAAAAAAACCAAGTCTGGTTTGTCTCAGCACTTTTGGGAGAACCATGACCTGGTTGGCTGAGAATCTCCATAGACTTCCTTATCAAGAGTGATTGTCTCACAATTACTCTATTCTGTAGCAGTGAAATGATATGTGAATTACTAATATGTGGATTATTTTATAGGACTAAATTCCCACATTTTTATTTTTAACTGAAGAGCTAACCTTGGGGCATCACTAATGAAACCACCATGAAAATACAGCATTATAGTGCCTGTACATTTTTTCAAGGATGTCATTTCCATGCTAGTATTGTTTTATTATATATTAGGTTGTCTGTAACCAGACTGAAATTGTGTGTTGTGATCAAATTGAATGCCAATATAATCATATGCCAAAATTCATTGGCTCATTTCTGAACTCTAATTGTTGGGAACCATGACTTGGAATCACAGCACTTGAAGGAAAAATTCCACCTCATCTATTCCACAAAAGCTCTTGCACAAAATCCTTGCATGCCCCACTATTGTCATACCTAAACTGAGATGGTCACTTACAACAATAGTTGAAATTTTCAGTTTTGGGAATCTTTGAAAGAAATAAGCCTTTTGCTAATTTCTTAACCTTTGCAGCTTCCTCTTGGACTTTGTTTTCTCCATATATCCACTGCTTTGTCCAATAATTTTATGTCTGATAGGTAAATATTCTTTCTGATGCTGGTTCTAGTTTGCTGCTTTTAATGAGTTCTCTTTTTCCCCTAAATTTTTATATAGTATTGTAATCTTGTGCTTTTATGATACATTATTCTGAAAGCAAATAATAAACCATTCTGAAAATAATTCTGAAGATCAGAAAATCACTGGAATGGTTTTTGTTGTGGTTTACAAATCTCATTTGTGTGGTAAAACTCCCATCCATGGAAATGCACATCTAAGTTTTCCCAAGTTTGGCATGTGCATCTGTTTATGCATCTTGATATAACTACAAAAGGTTTGATATTTTAAGGCGCCAAGTTTGAATTGAGCCATTTCTCAAATGACCATAACATTTTAAAAGTTAGTGAAAGAAAATGATATTCTTAATTAGTTTTCAATCCAAGTAAATGATGTAAAAATTTGAGCAAAACAAATGGAGCCTACTGAACCTATCATATTGACAGAAAAGAAATTTAAATTGCCAAAACAAAACCAAGAGAACTGCCTATATTTACATGTAGCCTGCTCTTCCAGCTGGCTTATATAATATGCTGCAACTTTTAATATGACTCAAGACTGGGGAAGAGAAACTAGACTGAAGGATATAAATATATCCCTAATTATACAGCAATATTGCAATATTTATTATATTTTGCATTGTAATACTAAAATTTAAAAGTGCCAATGTAAGCTTTTTCTTCCTTAGTATTCCATATGCTTGTGCATTGTAAACCTTAGATAACTATTGTTCAATATTACGTAAATGCATTTCCAACAGCTGCAGCAAGCTTAACAGTTTTTTTCATTTCTCATTTGACACTGCTTTGCAGACTTGCATACCTTGAAAGGAACTAATGACCCAGAGGTATCTACAAAACAACCCCAAGCAATGAGCAATGGGTAACTGTTACGTGTACCTTTGACCTAATCAAATGCTAATCTTCAGGGGCAAGAAACAATCCAATAATTATAACTTCTTGGTTTTGCATATGCCTTTTATGAATATTTCTTCTCAGTAGTCCTCCATTTTACTGTTTACTTGGGTAAGGAGAAATACATACACTGAATCAGGGTCTGTAGAAGAAATATCTGTAAAATGTTCTGCCATCTCTTGGCTTTAAAAATCACTGAACTGTGGAATAGAACATTTAGTTGCCTCTAATTTTAACTCTCTTTCCCTTTATAGAATTCCGGTGTACAGATTAATTCAGGAAAGTGAAGTTAATATGGAAACAAAGACCTGTCATTGGCAAAAGATTTAGACCTGAGAGATTGTGGTTTGCTTAACGCTAATGTTGAATAAGTCACAAGCGTGGTTCACACACCATAATAAAGCGCAAGCAAATCACATTTTGATCTAAATAAAAATATGAATCCACCAACCTTACACTAAACTTTAGCAGACATGATATAGAACTTTTTTTCATGCTTATGAGGTAGTGAATGCTGAAGCAAATATGCTTCTGTGCTTGTGTTGTAAATAACTGCATGTGTATCCTTTTCTGCAATTTTTAAGTAAGTCCAAACATATTTGAGTTCTTCCAAATGAGTCACAAGACCATATTTCCCAAGTCAGATGTTTCTGTTTAATGATGATGTCATCTTGCAAAATAAAATCTATATTTTGCCATAAATTAAAGTACCTGAACTATTCAGGGTACTCGTACTATCATCACAATGTGTTTGCCCATTTGTTTTTGTTTTAAAAACAAATTTTTTTTTAGTCAGAAAAAAAATCTACCTACATCTTGACCAAAGTGTCTACAACATTGAAATTGTTACAGGCAATCCTATTCGAAATTAACTTAACCACTTAATGGAATTTGGAGTGGGATGAAACCAGAACATGCTTGGAAGATGAAGGAAAGGAGAATGCAAGGGAAGAGAGATCTGTTAAATAGTTTGGGATCCAACTGGTTTAAGCCTATTAATCTCAATATTAGGAGTTCAGGGTTCAGGTGAATGGGTTTTAGCTGAATTGGCAATCACTACAGATTTTTTGGTGTAAATATACATGAAGATCAGTCAGCCTCATAAATATGCAAGTTTTGCATTCTTCCATAGTTGAACTTTCAAACAATCTTCGAAGCAGTTTAGATAGAATACATTTACAATTGTATAATTTGGAAGTCACCAAAGTGTGAAGGACAGTGGTCAGGTTGCTCTGTCTTAAGCAATGAGTGTAAAGTAGCATGGCTCAGAATTGTACTATTATTTGAATACAAGCTAATTAGACTGCCAGGTAAATATTCTGAAAGCACATTCTATTGCATTGTCTGGCTGCTTAATTTGAGTATTTTGCTTTTCTTAGGTGATTAGTTGAATGTTTTCCCAATGATTTTCTGTATAGAGAATCATCCAGAACAGAACCCCTCCCCCCAAATGTCTCGTTTTGGTCAGCAGAGGCACCCCGGCGGCCCCGCAGGCCAGATTTATACACCCCAAGGGTTGGATTTGGCCAGCGGTCTTGAGTTTGACACCCCTGATGTAGAATATCAGCAGTTAATCTTGTTGGCTATTGCATTTTATATGTAATATTTTATTATTTCATTTCATTTTATTACTTTATTTTATTTTTAATGGGAATTATATAATTAAGGTGAAACATTATCCATCCAGAGAACAGGATGATCCCAGCCCTGCTGTTTTTCCGTAAATCCTTAAAAAAATAACTCTGGCTCTGTGCCTAGTCCTGAGTATGTTCAGGAACTTGTTTTATGGTTAATTTAGTAATTAGGATGGGTGATTTATTCTCAGATCCTATGTATTTTAAGTTTTGTATCAGTTGTTTTTTTATTTTTTTAAATTTTATTCACCACCATAGTCACTTGGTGTGATGGACAGCCACACAAAAACAAACAAGCAAGCAAACAAACAAATGAATATTATGTGGCCTTGAAAAGTAAAGCTGGTGCAAAATGTGGTAGTATAGGCTTCTAAAAGGGCAATACATTGAATAGCCCTTCACTGGTTGTCAGCTTGCTTCCAGGTCCACTTAAAGTTGTTGGTTTTGACCTTTAAAGCCCTACATAGCAGGGGGCCAGGTATCTGAGAGATTGCCTCTCCAGTTACCTCTACCTGCCCCATCAGATCCAGCAGGAGAGGCATATGTAGTAAGATGGGAGTTCCATCTTACCATGGGACCCACCTCCTGGAACATCAACCCTTACCCTCCTGAGGGGAAGTTAGCCTCAACCCTGGGGAAAGCCCTTAAACTTCAGCAAGTTTTTGGATCTCCTGGTAATAGGGAACCTATGTGCTGGCTGTATTATCTATTATATATATGTTGGCTACCTCTGATCTATATATATTTTCCCTCTTGTGGTTTTTTTGTTTGTTTATATTCATAGTT